ACCACCCCCTAGCCCGCCTTCGCGCCCGCCCCCCTACGCCCCCGGCACGACCACGGACCCTCCCACCAGAACGCCCTCTCCCTCCAGCGCTGCCTCTACCCCCACGTCATCACCCTCCCAGGGTAGACGGAAACTAAGGAGCAGGGCCAGGTCCTCTTCCGACGATATCACCCGGAAAGATGGCCACGCCCATGAAGCCTTCGTTACCGAGGCTCCCGGCAGTTGCAGGATGGCAAATGCCTCTCTTCCATGCAACGATATTTGGAAAGCTTTCCGGACAGAAGCTGCACAGGCTAACGATGCCGAGTTTTTAAAAGCTTTTCCAATTTACCTAGAAGAAGGTCGTGCCCCCGAGTGGCGTCCAGTGTCTTATACCATGTTAAAGGACATCAAAAAAGCGATTGTAGAGTACGGTTTAGGCTCACCCTATACTGTTGGACTTTTTGAATCGTTTTTTCTCGCCTGTCGTTTAATACCTTATGATATCAAAGCGGTAATTAATGGACTGTTATCGACTGTGCAGGCATCCGTTTTTGAAGCGGAATGGAAACGTCTTATAGTTAAATATGTCAATGAAAAGATGGAGAGGCGTGGTATTCCTGTAAAGAATGCTATTGATATGCTGTATGGAGAAGGCAACTATGCCAGCCGACAAGACCAGGCTCTTGTGGATTTAAAATACCTAGATATTACAAAAGATCTGGCAATGGAAGCCTTTAAAAAGGTTGCTGATGCATATGTCCAAACACCCTCCTTCACCCTAATTCATCAAGGCTCAACAGAACCTTTTGTGGACTTTATAACCCGGCTAAGGGAAGCTATAGCACGGCAAGTCCAGCAAAAGGAAAGCCAAGACATTTTGTTTAATAAACTTGTGATTGAAAAGGCTAATGAAGATTGCCAACAAGCCTTAAAAATGCTAAAAGATCCCACACTCCTGGAGATGATAGAAGCTTGTAAGAATGTGGGGTCTAATTCTCATAAAGCAAGACTAATAGCTGAAGCTTTAGCTAGACCACAAACCTGTTTTCACTGTAGTGAGACAAGACATATTAAAAAGAACTGCCCACAATTGACTACAAAGACTGAGCTTCCAAAGACGCCGTGCAAACGATGTGGGAAAGGCAGACACTGGACTAAAGATTGCCGCTCTCTTACTAACATCTATGGAGAACTGCTGCCTCCTAAAAAGTCACCAGACTTGAGAAGAAAAGTGACTTTTAATTCAATGCCAGATCTTAAACAGTGCACCTGTGAACTGTCAAGAAACAAGGCAGCACCCCCTCAACCGCGTTCCATCCTGCGTAGCCCATCCCTTCAGCAAGTGCCAAGAAACCACAGCAATCCCTACAGTTCCCTTATCACGTGATCCCAATCCTAAATTCTCCCTTCTAACATGTTCTGCTTACTTTCCAGGATCTCGTAGTCCACAGAAGACCACTATCACTAAGCTTTTAGACACCATGGAGCAGTGGCATCTCGGGCTGGAAACAATTTTAGGGGGGGAGTCACTCAGCAAATGCAGCTGTCCACTTGTTTTGAAATTTTGCTTTCTCTGTTTGTTTAGTTACTAACTATTTCTTGTGTCACAGCATGCTGCAAGAAGGACTATCGCAACAAGCATCTTTCAAACTAATAAGAAAGGGTGAGATGTGGAGAAGCAAGATTCAGGATGGGAACAGTTCCAGGCATGGAGAAAAGCATACAGCAATTGGCAGGACTTTCATATGGACTTTCACTGTATTCATGCTACACAGTGCACAACTGCACATGCCCAGGCTTCCTCCTCCCCCTTTTGCCTGTGCCCCGTTCTGATTTGCTCCCCCATTTGTCTGTCTGATAGCCCTCTCGATGTTCTGCCCCCTGCCCCTGGCGGGACGGTTAAGAATCGGGCGCACGCCTGAATAAACAAGTCTGCTTGCACCCTTCCTCGTGTCCTGTCCCCTCTTCCCTTCGGACCGCGACAGTAATACATTAGTATTTTTTGCATAACACAAGCTGTTTATTGCTCAGGTAAAGAATTACCTCCGTTTGCTTGGGAACTCTGCTCTTATGGCACAAATGAGTACATTTGTACAAACCTGTAGTCAGTCTCAGGTCATCAATAAACCAGAAGGGCAATAATTTTCTTCTGAAAAGAAAATAGGAGGACGATTGTTTAAATAACAACTCAAACATCAGGGAAAAAAAAAATAATTTTTAAAGAAATCTAAACCTTCAGAACAAACATGCTGCTCAGCAGGGAAACAGAGTGTACAAGTGAGAAGGCTGGACCTCAGAGCTCTGATTAGGCCAGGCTGTCCTGTGCACTCAGGAGCACAGCCTGTGTGTCCGTCATATTTCTGCTCAAATTGCAAAGGCTTTTGTTTGAAGAAATTACAGTGTTATTGAAAGGGCATTATTGTGGCTGTGACAAGCCTGGACTCGCTGGATTCACACAAACATCTCCATGTTGGGACATGCTACGTTCTGCTGTTAAAGGTACAGGGAATTCCTTTTCTGACTTATGGCACATCCTGAAGTAGTCTGCTGATGTGACATAGTAACCAAGTGTGCAAGTGTCCAAGTACTGATAAACAGTGAAAGATGATTTAAACATTTTCTTGGTGTCTAACACAGAATGGACTACTGTAAAGATTATCTAGTCTGACTGAAATTATGATCTTAATGTAACAGCACTTACAATATCCTGATGAAGTTAAATTTCTATTCTAGCCAGCTGCACTCATAAGTTAGAAACCATTTAATTTTCCCACTTTCTCTGGTTTTTAGTCAGCAGTGACCTCTGACACTCACATTTCCAGCCACCCACAGAGACTTATTAGTGCTACAAACAAAGGAAGGAAAAAATAGTGCCAGAACTGTCATGACCACTATTGTCCCACAGCAAAAGATCCTGCTGTCCCTGTTGGTGTCTGCAGAAAAGAGCAAATCCAGAAGATGAACCCAATTTCAGAGCAACACTGGCCCCAGGTGAACTAGAGACTGTACAAGAAGGGAACCATCTGTGAGTAATATTTATTGACACAACTGAGATATTGGTTCAACGTGCAAGAAGTAACAGCCCTCAGGTATTTCACTACTCCTGCTATATATCTGTGACCTTCCATTTTATAGGCTGACTTTTGCTATCTAGGTAATTAAAAAGAGCAAAGCTGGATCTGCACTCCAGGGAGTTACTGCTTTATTACCTTGAAACCAGAAAGAAAGAAAAAGACAAAAGCCCAAAATCATACGTCATCAGTTTCTCATGGAGTAAAACACTGGCACAGGAGTTCAGTTCAGCCACAGACCCAACAGTGTCCAATGCCCTGCCCATTGGGATCACAGCATGGATCATCTGAGAGCCTCATGTTTCATTTTCCAGCCAGGTAAGGATGCCTTGGGATTCAAGGACGTCTCAAAGGCACCAGGTGCTTATGTTTGGCAAGTGAAGAGAGCACAAAGTGTGCCTGTCTCTCTAGAATAGCTGATAAGCTCCTTTATGGGATAATCAGGTACTCTGCACACAGAGGCAAGGAAAAGGACGTCCTCAGACCTTCTCCATGACAGTTCTTTTCAAAATGCCCCTCTTCTCACTCTTCAGAAATTCAGATTAACCCAAACAACTCTGCTTGAATGGGAGCAGCTGCATCCATTTCTTATTTTATCCATAGAAAAAGAAGACATTATTATTTTGAAACAAGAGGAACACAAAAGAATAAGGAATATAGATGATTTTAAAGCCAAAATACAACATTCAGTTTGCTTACACCATATAGATGCTAACAAAATATACTCAATTGCTGCAAGTTTTAAGAGACACATGCAGGACTGCATGCAGAGATATGAACTAGAACTAACACCACAGGTCTTACTTTGACCATATAATTAACATACTTTTAGCAATGACCATGATCCAGTCACAGAAATAAATAGGAGAGGTGCTGCTTCAGAGAGTCACGCAGTGTAAGGACTGTGAAGGTAACAAAAAGGCCAAGGGCCCTCACACAGGGCTCTCACAGCCCACTTCCACAGAAATCAGGACAAAAAGTTTATTGTGTGTTCTTGCTTCAATGAACTAAACTAACCAAATAATGACATTGTAAAGACATTCTTACTATGTGTGGTAACAAAATCTGTTCTGCTTCTACAGGCCCCATGGAACTGAGGAACAGATACTGATAATATTATTTATGTCAAAAAGTGAGAAGCTTCATGAGACTTCTCTTGAAATAACAGAGTATGATGCTCATGGTGTGTCATCCTATTCAAAGGAAACAAGACCTTAAACGTTTATTTCTTATGTAGTTAAAAAGAAGGAACTTTTTTGGGAATAGTTAAGTACAAGTGCTTTTATGATGGGAAACAGTGTTTATTCAAGAACACAGGTGTTTACAGTTTTGAAACGTACATATTACTGTATAAGGTTAGAGAAAATGTGAAAGCCCCTTCAGTAATTTATACCTAATTGGAAATTATTGAGAAGTACATGTTGAAATTGTCACAGAAATAGATTAATCCAACAAATCACAGAAATACATTAATTTAAATATTGAAAGAAATAAAAGAAAGATTTCTTTCAGGCATGATCTCCACTTAAACTATATATGCAGTTTTCTTCATAGCAGTAATAACTATCACTTTTGAGCCCTCAGCTACTAGATAGAAAGTGAAATGCAGGGACAGCTCAACTGGATCAACTAAACTAGTTCAAGTAGTAGTAGTCTAGCTGTAACAGCAGGGAGATCTCACAGAATAAATTAATTGCAGCAACAATCAGAATACTTTCACCATAATTCCACTCAAAATGAAGAAATCTCAGGCACCTCCACACAACACAGATCACCTCTTTCTGTGCCTTAAGATGCAAGAGGTAAGTGGAGGGACTGGATCCCTGCAGCACACAGGCAGCAGAATTGGAACAAAGCAGTGGGTAGGGTATTTCCCTGATTTGGAGGACACACACATTGATTTGGGGGTTAAAACTAGAGTCTGCTTAGGAGCACCCAATTTCTTACCTTTACAAAAATGTAAATCTCAAAATCTTCCTGAAAGTTGTTAGTTTCTCCAGAGTTATTGTTAAGGGGAAACTTGAGGGAAGTTGAAGAGTCGGAAAAAGTGCTCTGTCTCAGATGCGACTGGAGATCCGGAGGAAAATGAAGGTTGCTCTCAAGCATCGTGACCTCTACATGTTTCTCTTCCAGAGCTGGGCTCATCAGATCCATCTGCTGGTAGGGGTGGTCTTCTCCAGCACCACAGTGAGATGAAGAATCATCTTCTCCAGCACCATGGCGAAATGAAGAATCATCTTCTCCATCACCTCCATGCTGAGAGGCCACAGAATTACTACAGTTATCTTCTGGGTTCTCTTGACTACCATTCATGTTCTCTGGGATATTAGCGATGGAAGAAGGAGATGCTGAATCTTTACGGACATGATAATAAAGATGACCCCCTTTGTCTTCCTCAGAGTCTGAGACCTCACAGACACTGGTGTCATTAACATTTTCATTGACGTTGGTAAAGACTGGATCTTCCATGACTGCTGCCTGGTGAGATTTGCCTGCCTGCTGGTACCTTAAAAGACTACAATTAAAGTGAGATGTTGACAGACAAGCTCTCCTCAGGAGGAAGCAGAGTCTGTGGCGTGCTTTCTAAATGCTCTGTTATACATGGCAGAGCTCCAACAATCATTTACTGAGAGCTTTGAATCAAGTAAAAGATAGGCCTGTCTCACTTTTAACCCCTTTGTTGATCTCACTGCTGGGAATGGTATCTCAGGAGCTGTAATCAATTGTTCTTCACAATCATTTGCAACATTTCAGTGGTTACTTAAAACATCATCAACAAATGATGATTGTTTATAAAAAAACTACAAATAAAAAAAAAATATAAAGTGGTAAATTTTAACTCTTTCCAGCTTTGCCACTGACTCACTTTGGGGACCACACACTTCACATTTAGCAATTTCCTCCTCTCATCTATAAACCAGGGCCAAAACTCTAAAAAGTCTTGTGAGCTGCCCTGCAATGTAGGAAAAAAAAGCACTGAATAAGTATTAGCTATTATTAATACACTTAATGTGTTGATTAATTATAATCACATTTACATTATGTATCTCCATGTCATAACAAACTTTTGCAATCTAATTTGCCTCCTTGTCTATGCAGTTCCTTTTCTCTAGAGACACACTACACTGCACAGAATCTAAAATAGATGAATTCTGCCAGCATCAGCATAAAATGAACTGCCCTCCTAGGAGAGATACACATTCCAGAGAAACTGAATTCAATGGAGCTGAAACTCCCCAAAGATCCAAACCTGAATTTATCAAATTATTATTAAGTTATCCATTTATTAAAGTCATGAGAACTTAGACCTTACTGACTAAAGGCTTTTTATCTCAATGTTTACTACATCTGGATTATGTAGATTATGACAAGAATTCTTATAATCTAATTATATTTAATCTTTTGGGTTTAAGCCAAAAGGAAAAATAAAGGTATTTTCCTCCTGACCCATCCGTGTAACTTTCTGAGAGATAACTGCCACAGCCAGGTTGGATTTCTTAAAGAAACACAGAGGAGAGGTGAGAGAGAAAGATGGTAATTCCATCCACCCCAAACAGAGCAACCAAGGGAAGATGTGCTGTTTCACGCAGTAGAATAGCAGGTGCTCCCTGCCTGGGATTTATGGTTGTTAACAAGTTTACTCTTATACTGAACAGTTTAGATTACTACTAAAATTAAATATCAAAAGCAAACCAATATTTCGTCTTATTAAACTTGGATCCACCTTCTAAGGCTCCCAGATAACCTGAAAAGTGCCAGGATCATAGTAGCAACCAAATTTAATCACAGTGATTGTACAGCACAAGATGCAGGTAAGTATCAGAGAACAGTGAGATCTCTTAATCATGGATGCATTTCTGGCCTGATGTAACTCAAGAACTTCAAGGATATCTTGAAGGTCTAATTTCAATTATTCCTACCCACAAATTCCTGCCTGGCACAAGTGGTCCATCAGCAAACAGGACACAGCACATCTACTTTTTACATTTTGTGTATGTAACTCAGACACAATTCTTCACATGGAAATCCTAAATCAGAGATTCTGAAATGTGGTGTGTAATCTGTATTGTAAAATTCTTGCATTCAAGACCAGGCTAGAGATAAGACTGATTTAAAGTCAAGAGCCTAAGTCACTAAAGTTCAAGAAACTTGGGAAAACCAATGAGCCGACTAAATAACTTCACTTTTTTCAATGAATATTTTTTACATTTTTAAGAAAACACTTGGATTTCTTCATTTTTTGTAGAAAGACAAACATATTTCTACCTGTGACTGTTCAATTTGCTCTGAGCATGACCTTGATCAGCAACTCCCACTGATCTTCAACCTCTTTTTACTTGCAGGGTTAAATACGCTGGGATCATAAAAACTCACTCCTTAGTAACTCTGCTGGTAAATAGCTTGAGGAAGAAAAGAGAACACAGAAATATTCATGGCACTAAACAAAGTTGTATTAAATTAAACTACTGGTTTTTCTTCCCCTTCACGAAGATGACATTTGCAGGACGCAGCAGCACCTGCTGGAGGGTTTAAAATATCACAAGTAAACCAAGGAATAAGAGTGTAACATGAGTATTATTTAAAAATAAATAAATACAGTTGATGTGGATTTCTTTATCATGAATTACCCAAGTCCTTCTTTCCTCTGCCCCACTCCAAGAGCAAAAAAAAAAAATATCAGCCAGCTCCAAGATCCCGATGTCACTCTTGTGACAGAGTGATAAGGCCCCAGGGGAAACCTGACCACACTTAAGAATTTACCCAACTGAAAATCAGATGCATTTCACATCACATTACATGAACCCTCCGCTGGTTTACAGCCCTTACTTTTCATTTTCAGGGAAGACAGAAAAGTTTTTGCATTACAATTCAAAAGTTATGGGATAACAAACAAGATCCAAGCTGAGGCTCCCACACCATGACCTGGGACAGTGGTGTCCTGACCTGCTCCCCTGTGTCCAGTGCTGCTTCCTCCCTGTTCCCCAGCCAAAAATGCTCTGCTCCAGCAAAGGAACTGAACAGAGGTGCTGTGTGCACGTGTGCCCAGTAAAATGGGATTTCTGTCCTGCACAGAAGTGAGAGAGAAGAAGTGGTATGAGGCAGGAGAGCAGAAAAAGATCTCGGCATAACTAAACAAAGCAGAGATCACCAATTTCATCCATTCTCTAAATTCCTCTGCTCCCAAATCAAGAAGGCATTGACTTAATGTGGAAGTTAGTAATAGCAACACTTCATGGTGTTAGTTCTGCAATCCAGGTTGTGTCATGGACCAGTGTCTGTACCATCCAGTCCCACACGAGCCATTGGTAACACTGGTTACTGGCTTTGCAGAAACATGAAGAACCACAAAAACCATAAAGCAGCAAAATTCATATAGGGACAAAGAACATGAACAATAGGACTCCTCGTTTTCAAGGTTTATTTTTTACTTTATGAATTTCCATTTTTACTCTAACCTTTATCTTTTTAAAGCAAGACATACCAGAGCTGACATGACTACAACTCCAGTTAGCATACATAAGACACAAGTTACAGTTCTGTTAGTGCCCAGTACCTCGAGTAAGCAAATCACTGATTCTTTCTACAGTCCAATGGACAGCAATGGGTACCACAAAGTATGTAATAAAAAGAGACGGAAATAATTACATCCAAAGGAAATTAAGTATACTCTGGAGAGTATTATTACTGCAAAACCCAGTCAACAGTGGTCCCTAAAACAGATATGTCTGTTTAGACAGCAAAGTTGGGACTCACCTACATTTAGAAGTCCACCAATGGACATCAAAACTCACACTAGGAATGTAGACAACTGCCAGGTTCACTCTGCAGAGAAACACAGAGATCAGTTCAGCAGCTCAAATACACACAGACATTTACTGGTATTTAAGTTGTTCACTTCGACAACTTGATTTTATTTGAAGGACAGCAGATACAATAAGGGCCCTGGCACATTGAGAACAGCATGTTAAAATCAGACTACTGAAGGTACTACTGAAACTTTATCTGTTCACCCTGTCACCCTGACAGAAATCAGCATCCCCACCTTGGACTTATTTTAAAACGACAAGCAGAAGAAATTCCTGCATTGCTAAAGTCAGTTAGCCCTCACCTCCAGAGTGGAAGAGAAGGGCGGAAAGAAGGAAAAGTAACAAGAATGTCAGACCCCTAAAGCTCAGAGATTAATAATTTGAGGTAAAAAGCCGCATGACACTATTTAATACAGATTCTTAAGCCTTTTACCTGGGTAGACCTTTATTAAAGCAAATAACTTGAATGTCTTCTAGAGATTCCACAATACTGGAAACTTCAACTCATCCATCAGTGACACAAGTAGCTTCAGTAGTTCACAGCCCTGTTTAGAAATAGCAACGTTTCTATTGGAATTTCTCAGATCATTTCCAGTTGCTATGATTTTAGTGCTTTAGTTAAAAGAGTCCCTCAGTTTTATGCATCTTCCATGAAGATACTTGCACACTTTAAGCAAAGAGCCTGTAAATCTTTCTTCATAACCTTCATAACAAATTTTACTGTCCCTCAGAAACTGAGGGATCTTGTCATCCCATAGGATCGGGCCTTCAATTTCACATAAGGGCACTCAATGCAAAAATCATGAATGTTCCTGGCCTTTCAGGATGGTTTTACAAAAAAACCCAACTTTTTTTCTTTGTAAAGCTCAAAAATTGCCAAAGCTTTGCAACATGTAATTCAAGAACATTATCGAAACTACACTGTTGGCTCTGGGAGACAGATTGGTCATGGTTTACAGATTTACTACAAGGGGCTTGCAATAAAATCCCAGCACTTTGTTTTCACTCCGGGCTGCACTCAATACTTGGATGGAATCAACTGCAAACAAACTTTCTTGCATCATTTCCAGCCTCAGCTTTTACTTGTTTTGTTAGCACCACCTCATCTCTCCACAGTTCATCAACAGTAATGCTTTATTCACTGAAAATGTTGCACTAAACAGCATGAGAATAATACCTTTATCCCACATTTTATACCTTTATTTGTATTCTATTTGTGATGTAGCAAGGAAAACAAAACACACAGAAGAACCATTTCAGAAGAAAGTGGTTTGGTAGATGTTGGTCATGACACCGTTTCACACAGGAGTCAGCCCATCCTTGGAGCAGGACTCCAGAAATCCATTTATGGCTCAGCTAACAGTGACCTGGATTCTGCTTGAGGGGCTGCTTCACAAATCCAGGACCCCACTGTAGTAATGGTGATTCACCTTCACCCAGATTTTCCTTTGCTGCTGACCGCATAAAAGACACATTTAAAGCAAACACATCTGTGAATTTGACTCTGTAAGATAGACACTTCTCCACTAGACAAACAATAGAAAACTACTTTGCACAGGACACACAAATCTCATGTTATCGACAGCTTTTGGTTGTTAAAAATACCAGGAGTCATTGCCAACAGACATTTGAAAACCTGCTGTACCTGCTGCAGAGCCTAAACAATTATTCCTAACTTGGATGTTTCACAGCCCTTTATTTGTGGTTTTCCAGTTCCTTTTATAAAACTTGGTTTGGTCTCCAACCCCATGGTTGGAAACTCCATTAGAATACCTGAGAGCCTACGCAATACTTTTTATTTGCCCAACTGCTCCAAGCAAAACATTTTTGTTCACCTTTAAAATCTGGCATCATTTCAACACCCTTGTTTATCTCTGAAACCAACCCTTGAAAAGCCCAGCAACCCAGCTTCAAGCCTGTTAGCAGTGGAGGCTCTGGTAACCAAAATAAAGAAGGCAGAGGCACCGGAGTCCCCTGTATCAGCCTGTCATGCAGCCCTAGGGATCTCCTTCCTCACAGTTTGAGAAATGGCAAGGTTAAGAGCCCTGTTTGGTTTATAGCCTCCATACACAAGCAATGCTTTGGATTAAACGGGCACTAAAAGCTTACTGTCTAATAAAGTTTAACAGCTATAAGTCACCCAGCCCTTTTATGGTCTCATTAAACCTCTATTTATTTTTTATCTCAATTATATAAAGATGCATCAAAACATGCTAAATGACAGATTACAAAACCACTGAGCAAAAACGGTCACAGATTTCTGTCACATGGATAAAATTGAGAACAAAATTGGAAATACAGGAAATATTCCTTGTTTGATGTTAAGTAGTGAAAATGTCCTGCTTTTTCTTAAGAAACCACTTAAGACAAGTATCTGAACTATTTACATGCAACATCAAGTTTTCATAGCATCATAGAATCACAGAATGGTTTGGGTTGAAAGGGACCTTAAAGATCATCCTGTTCCAACCCCCCTGCCATGGGCAGGAACACCTTCCACTAGACCAGGTTGCTCAGAGCCCCATCCCACCTGGCCTTGAACACTTCCAGGGATGGGGCAGCCACAGCTTCTCTGGGCAACCTGTGCCAGTGCCTCACCAATCTCACAGTAAAGAATTTTTTCATAATTCCTAATCTAAACCTACTCTCAGTTTGAAGCCATTCTCCCTTGTCCTGTTGCTACATGCTTTTGTAAGTAGTGTCTCTCCACCTTTCTTGTAGGCTCCCTTCAGGTACTTGAAGGCTGCAACTAGGTCACCACGAAGCCTTTTCTTTTCCAGGCTGACAATCCCAATTAAATTAATCCAAATTTAAACCCAATTTTAATTCATTCAAATAAATTTGGAGTTGCTTCCCCTTCACAACACTGCCAACAGGAGGGTGTAGTTTTCCATCTAGAAATGAAATGCTTTATTAAACCTACCAAACACAGAATATTTTGAGTTTGCCTACGCTTTACTTCCTGGCATTTACTAAGTTCCACTGACACAAACAAATGCATGCAATGGTTTTGAGCTGCATATGCTCAATTATACTCCAGAAAAAAATCTGTACAGCTTCTGGCAGCATTTAGGATGGTCTAGTGCTTAGACCTACAGGCAATTCTATACAATATAGAAAGAGATCAAGGTGATGAAAGGCAAACATCTTGGTAGTTCCCAGGTTTACTTCTTTTAATATAAGTATACACATAACTCACCCATTTCTTGTAGGCAAACACTGTAAATGGAACCAAGAGTTGTATTAAATACATGATTAGATACATACTGGCTAGCCCAGTTCAGAGTCCAGAGTTGGTATGTTGTGCTGCCTGCATGATGTGTCAAATTGGACACATCACATTAGGCTGGGCTCATGAATATGTGAATTCTGCAAATAGGTTTCAAAGCATCTGAGCAGGTGTAAACAAGAGATTACTCACGCCTTCTGGACTGAATAGCTGAGTATGTTGCCAAGCTAGGTTGGCAAAAGAGCCTTGATGGTTAAAAATTGTCTGAATCTGTGCACGAACAAGAACTCAATCGTAACTTGATGAAATTGGCTAAAAGATTGCACTTGTTATGAATTTCCTTGAGCTCTAGTTCACTCTGTGTAATAAATATTTTTAAGGCAATACAACAAAGTAATTCATAAAGAACACATCTCTCCTCCACATGATCAACTGTCACATGCATATGCAGAAAGCTGAATTAGTGTAACAAAAAGGGAAAAAAACCCCAAAGACCTTGACTTGAACCTGACACATAACACGTGAATAGCTGTAAGAAGTCTTATCTTGCTCACCTGGAGTTGTTTTTTTTCCTTCTTTCACACTCTTGTGCTTTGCCACACCTCCTACATTCCATAAATCAAGGTGAATCAGAGGCATGTCACTTTATTCAGCCTATTGTACCACATCTTTAGAGTCACTTCACAGCTGGAACAGGCAGGTAGCACAACCTGCCTAACTCTTACATATGTGAAAGCCATTAGAGAGAAACAAGCTGAAGTCTATGTGGTATTCAGAATAAACATGTCAGCAGGATAAACAGAATGAAATTCAGATCTACTTCAGTCAATCATGACTGTGCTCTGTGCTATTAAAGGATGTTTTACATAGAGCTGATCTCATTGTTACTCAGCACCAGTAACTTAACAGGTTTTGCAGAATTACTAATCTGTCCTCATAATAAAAAGGAAAACCATGGGAATGTAAATTATTTGCCTTAATTTATGAAGCAAACTTACACCAGGAACCAAAAGAGACCTCAACCCATTGTAACCACACACTGCTTTTCCAGAAGCTGCGGTGGTACTCAGAGTACATTCAACAACACATTCACCATTTCCTGCCTGAATTCTGAGTTTTAGGGTAAACCAGTTTTTTCACAAGAGGCCACAAAAAGGTCATATGCGTGTAAGAATATGAGGAGGCAACTGTCAGAGCTGTGTGACCAAAAGGGAGACAGAGTCATGGAGAAGACACGCTGACAATCACCACTGCCTCACAAAGGTGACAGCCTGGGGCTGCTGCGACACGTAGAAAGGAGGCAGGAGGCAGGTTATAGGCGTGCTGGGAAAACATGGAAACTCCCAGGGCCACGTCCCATCACCTCCTCGCCTCGCCCCACAGTGTCCTTCAGCCATGGGGCAGCCAGGAAACACCCTGTACCCCCAGTGACCCTCACCCCAGCCCGTACAACATGCCCCTCATAAAACCTCGAGCTCCCCTGCAGCCCATCACATCTCCCAGCTTCTGACAGCTGCATTCCATAGCCCTGCTCCCCTCAGCTCCGCTCCTGTCATCCTGGGTTGTATCAGGAATAATGTGACCAGCAGGACTAGGGAAGTCATTGTCCCCATTGGCACTGGTGATGCACCTCGAGTGCTGTGTTCAGTTCTGGGCCCCTCCATTCAGGAAGGACATTGAGGTCCTGGAGCATGTCCACACAAGGGCAATGGAGCTGCGGAAGGGACTGGAGCACAAGTGTGAGGAACAGCTGAGGGAGCTGAGGGGGCTCAGGGGGACCTTCTCGTTCTCAACTCCCTGAAAGGAGGATGTAGCCAGGTGCGAGTCAGTCTCTTTTCCCAAGTAACAAGCAACAGGACAAGAGGAAGGAGCCTCAAGTTTTTCCAAGGGAGGTTTAGATTGGATATTAGGAAAAATTTTCTTCACAAAAACGGTCGTCAAGCATTGGAACGGCTGCCCAGGGAGGTGGTGGAGTCACTATCACTGGAAGTGTTTATGGGAAGACTGGACGTTGCACTTAGTGCCATGGTGTAGTTGACAGGGTGCTGACCAGTCAATAGTTGGACTAGATTATCTCAGACGCCTTTTCCAACCGAATTAATCCCGCGAAACTGGAAATCCCCCCTTGCCTCCCATGCCCGCCCCCCCCCCGCCGTGACCCCCCTCGGCGCCCGTCCCTCACTTCCCGCTCCCCCACCCGCCGTGCCTCCCGCGCCCCGCCCACCGCGCCGGAGCCAATCGGATCTCCCGCCAGCGGGTCCGCAGCCAATCGCAGCGGGCGGAGGCCGCGCGCACTGACGAGCTCCCGCACCCCCCCCCAAGGGCCGCCAGTGGCGGTTGGGGCCACGGGCGCGGCGGGTGCGCAGGCGCTCGGCCCCCCCTACCCCCCCCCCCCCTTACCTCCCCCCGTCCCGCTCCATCTCAGCCGCCCCAGTCACCTCCGGCGCCGCCTCCGCGTATCCGGCCCGAGCGGAGCCGGAGTGGGACGTCACGGTGGGGACCGGGCGGGTACGGGGGTGTCCCGCGTCGGGAGGCTGTGGGGGCGGTGAGCCCGGTCGGAGCGCAGTCGCGGGTGTGGGGGGAGCCGTCCCAGAGCGCCCGTCGGGTCGGCGGTGCCGGGTGTCTGCGCTCCGCAGGCGGGACAGCTCCGTCCTGACCGAGCTGCGCAACTCCCCAACGCGGCCGGGGGGTGCGGGGCCTCGGGAGCAGGTGGCACTGGTGCTGGCGGCGTTCCACAGCTGGGTTGTGGTGCTGGTTCTGCCTGGGGTAGAGTTAATTTTTAGTTAAACCGCGGCGTTTTTGTATAAGAAACGCAAGTGCTGAGCAGCTTTGGTGCATTTCGAAGCGAACGCTGTGTTTTTGCGTTTTAGTGCGCTATGGAAAACTCTGGTTCTGCTTTTTAAAGCACCTGACAACATCAAACGGGTGATTCGCTGCTTCGTTGCTATTTTCTTGTTTCCTTTTTATCTTTTTCTTTGAAGGGGCTCCGTGCTCCAAGTCCTCTGTACTAGGAGGTGCCTTAATGCTGGTTTTGCCGATCGTTTCTTCAAACTTCTGTATCTTTTAAAGAAATTTTAACTGTTGGAGGCAGGAGGAATGATTTCCCGTGCTTTGAATCCCCCTCACGGCTAAAGCTTTAGCTAACATTAAAGCTCCTTACACCTTTAAAATAATACAGTTGCGGTTTTAAGGAGTTTGAAGGGAAAAGTTAGTGTTACTACAAGCTGGGAAAACAGCTGCTGCTCCTTTAATCACCCACTTTGTGCAAATGAGATAAAGAAGACACTTTCTGGAGCAAGTGGGGCTCTTCTCGAGGAATAAATATACTACCAGCATTGCAGAAGGTTTTTTGAAACCTGGAGCTTCCTCTTTCTTAAAGACTGAGGGAATCATTCTGGACCTTCCTGAACAGTGCTCCAGGCACACATAATAAGTTTAGGGGGAAAAAAAGCTTACTAATCATACGTTGCATTCATAATAGTAATGAATTCCTTGGTGAGAAATACTTGTCTCACAGCTAAGGGTGATGATTACTGATGATTTTTTAAATTTTTTTAAGAGAGAAAAATATGATACATAAAAACCAGGTTTAAATACTGTTATGGTAGGTGTACAGGAGGTTAGAAGGAAAGGAGTAGAAGTTAATCCTGGCAGTTCTGTGTATAGAATAAGCATCGACTTAATAGGAATGTTGAAAGGCTCAGAAGTCTTCCAGCAGCTTGAGATGGTGGAAACTGTAAAAGGAAAGGCGGGATGAAAAAGAGAAGTTATAATTACAGTAGGAAACAGAATTCTGGTCTGAGCAGGGATGTGTAATAAGAATTTAGAGCTGCAGAGGACTCTTAAATGTGGGGCTGGAATTGTTCAGGAGCATGTGGCTTGAACATGAGTTAAAATACTGATTGTCTGTCTTGAGATGTAGAATTGTAATAAGACACACAGAACAATGGAATAACTGCTCAAAAGAGAAAACAGTTCTTCAAAACTAAATGAAACTAAATTTCATTTAGTCTGTAACGAAAAAAATCTTATTGCTCATTTGTTTTACTATATGAAAAACTATGACTGTGAGAAAGCTGTGAAGTCAGTAGGAAAATCCATGGTTGACTTGAGCGGTTGTTTAGACTGATTATTTTGGAGTTACCCTCTACAAGGAAGATGTACATAATGTATAGCTAGTTTAACTGGTTCCAGTACAAATATTTTGGTTACATGCCTTTTTAAATTTTTCAGGTGCATCTGATTGTCTGCTGGAGGTACTTTGAAGCCTCAACAATGAGCTCAGTGTTAATGTTACTTTTTGCTGGAATACTTGCCTGTTGTGCTTGCTCAGCTGGTGATTCCAGGTTACTCCTTGTGTCCTTTGATGGCTTCAGGGCTGATTACTTGGAAACTTATAAGCTTCCTCATCTTCAGGAGTTCATTGAGGATGGTGTGCTTGTAAAACAAGTCATGAATTCTTTTATCACCAAAACTTTCCCAAACCATTACACCATAGTAACGGGTTTATACGAGGAAAGCCATGGCATTGTTGCTAATGACATGTATGATGCAGATGCCCAGAAAAAGTTTTCCCAGTTCAATGATTCAGATCCCTTCTGGTGGGATGAGGCAGTTCCAATTTGGGTAACAAATCAACAGCAGAAAAAGGGAGCGAGTGCTGCTGCCATGTGGCCTGGTACCGATGTAAAAATTAATGATACGACCCCTCAGTTCTTTATGAAGTACAACTTCTCAGTGGAGTTTGAGGAGAGAGTGGAGAAGGTTGTTGCATGGCTGAACAGCTCCAACCCAGTGGTCACTTTTGCTGTGTTATACTGGGAAGAACCAGATGCAAGTGGGCACAAGTATGGCCCAGACGACACTCAGAACATGCGCAGAGTGTTGGAAGAAGTGGATCAACGGATTGGTTTCCTTATGAGTAAACTGAAGGCATCAGGTTTGTGGGACACTATTAATATCATCATAACAAGTGATCATGGAATGGCCTCCTGCTCTGAAAAGAAGCTGATTATCCTGGACGAGTGCATTGGGCGCAACAACTACACTCTGATAGACAAGACTCCGGTTGCTGCGGTGCTGCCAAGGCAGAGTATGTTTTGTTTGGCTGTTTTTTAAGTCACACACTGAGAATTAAATCTTGTTTATCTTACCTCTAAAAAGTATGCACTATGGTAGACTGTTCACATCTTTTGCAAAACCAGTGGAGTTCGTATTGCAGCACTTGGGCATTATGAATAAGATAAAAGATGTTGGTTGATTTAGAAATCACTTTGTTTTGGTAATCGGTGGGCCAGTGAGAGTTTCTTGTCAAATTACTATGGGTTATCATCATAAGGATGATCCTGGTACATCTGGTTGAGAAATTAGATAGGCACACCTGCTCTCTTGTTGCTCACTTAGTCTGTGCAGTTGTAATTCAAGGTGAGCATGAAATAAACCCACATGTTAAGTCAGAATAAAAAAATATGTAAATTTCAAAGTGAAAATCTAAACCCAACTTTGATCATTTTCACAGTTCTGTTTCTGAGAGTGAAACTTGAGGTTTCATGCTGTAAATTCAATATCTCGGAGTAGTTCCCAACAGGCATGTCTTAAATCAGGACTCTGCTGGCCTCAGTTTCCATAGCTGTGGCCAGACTAATGAACAAAGTGATTCATACAGTAAAAAAAAAAATTAATATTTACTGCATTGGATAAGATATTGTCTACTAGGAGGGGTGATTGTTTTCTCTTGATTTCTTTGCTTGAATATTGCCCTGCCAGCCCAAAGGGTAAGTTGAAATGTAGGTCCAAAGCCGCAGCTGTCATGTGTCTGATTTAAAATGAAAGCAGATAGTAAAATCCACCCTGACATATGTTGCTTTTGGTGAGGGACATGAAAAAATCGTTTTCTATGTGTCTTTTAAAATATTATTGTTTTGAAATAATGGATCTTAGGTTTAATGACAGATAATTGTAATAACCAGGAGTTAATGTCCAGGTGTTTCACATGCAGTTTCTTTTCTTGGCAGACAAAGAAGATGTGTATAACTTACTGAAAAATTGCAACAGTCACATGAAAGCGTATCTCAAAGAAGAAATTCCAGACAGATTTCATTATAGTCATAACAAGAGAATCCAACCCATAATTCTGGTTGCAGACGAAGGCTGGACAATTGTACAGAACGAGTCACTTTCCAAGTGTAAGTGTGTTTTCCTCTTTGGTGCTCTCTGTGGTTTATGTTGGTAAACTGACTTTTTTCTATTCCAGCCAGCTGCAGGACGGTTCTCCTTTAGCAAGTGGAGTTCTGGCACTGTGCACATTTAGGAACAGCTCAGTGTCTTCTAGAACATTCTCAGCCTGAGCCTGGAGTGTTTTAAGAGATGGGGATATTCTCTTGGCTGAAACACTTTGTCATGTTCAATTTAACTCGTAAAACTGTACTTCAGGCTATTATCTTAGGCAGGTTAGTCTGTCTCAAGCTTTCCCTAGAGTGTGGTTTAACTTTTTATTGTATATAAAATACATATATATAGGGGTGCATAAATTGAGGCATGCAAGACGCAACATTTAATGTTGCAGTACATGTACTAGGAAACAAAAATGAATGGCAGGAAGTACGAAAAACAATAGGAACACAACAATAATGGTCAAAGAAGCCAGAGTTCTTCCTGTTGGGGGCATCGAATAGCATGTTTGAAAGACAAATCCCAAAACAGGTGTTACTTCTCAGTGCACTGCTGAGCTGTGTACTTTCTTCCTGCTGGATGCTTCCTGATGAAAGTCAAATTACATATATATGTGTGTGTGTGTGTATATGTATATATTTTTCCAGGTGTTCCACATGCAGGATTGTTTTTTTTGGCAGGCAAGGGGCATGTATAATTTACTGAAAAAAATCCAACAGTCACATGAAAGTATATCTCAAAGAAGAAATTCCATATAGATTTCATCGTTGTAATAATGAGATAATTCAGCCTGTAATTCTGTTGTAGATGAAGGCTCTGTGTGTGTGTGTGTGTGTGTACAGATATATATATATATGCGTATACATGTGTTCAGAAAGGGATTGGACAGATTCTTGGAAGAAAAATCCATTAATAGAAATTAAGTACAAAGGTACCAGCTTCCAGGAAGTTTCTGAGCAGCCAACAGCTCGGGGCTGGCTGGTGTGTCAGGGATATCCCTGCTGGATACTCCCCAGACTCCCTGTATGACTGCTGTCAGAGACAGGGTGCTGGGTGGTGGAAACTCCAGTTTTCATCCAGTTTGGCTGTTCTTTCTGTCTGCCCTTTGCACATTTAAGTTCAGGTGTTCTCGTTATTTGTCCAAAAGTACTGATTTTAATACAAGATGTGTTTACATTTAAATTTCCCCACAGGTTTGCTACAATTATCTTCAAATTGACAATATGTAGCACAGGTGTTGTCTATTAGAGGTCTCTTGTTTCTGGATAGATTCAATTTCATGTACCTAAAATAGTTAATAACTGTATATTTATAAGGAACAGCATTGTATTAGCTGAAGTGAATCCCTTTTCAAATCAATTTTGTTAGCCAAGGTTTCCCAGAATTAGGCAGGGGAGGTTTTAGCCTAAAAGCCTGTTTAAGGCTTGTTGTCTTCATGGACAAAGTGAATGCCACGTGTACCAATACCTCATACCAGAATCCAACTTCAGAGTGAAAGATTGGGAACCTCATTGGAGAGGGGACTTGAAAGAGCTCTGCTCAAAGCAACTGAGTAGCAAAAGAGGGAAAAAAAAATCAAGAAACATAGTATTGTGTTAAACAAGATGCAGTGCAGTAATACCTCTGTGGTAACAAACAGAATGGTAGAAAACATTAAAAAGGACTAGTGGAGGTTCACTTAAGTGGTGTGACCTAATCAGTCAGAATCTGGACATTTTGCATCAGAAACTTCAGTGAAGCACCCAAGGAGACAGTTCTCAGGGCAACTATCAATTGTTACTAAGAAATGGACTCAAATGCAGTCACTCACATACTGTGCTGAGTGTGCTGTGAGAAACTTCTGGCATCTTGGACAGGTTTTTCTGAAATGTTGTTAGGAAATTTGACTATGGCTGCTTTTTAGCTCTTTATCTTAAAAACCTACTAAATGTCCAAGTACTGCTGACTTTGTAGCCACAAAGGTTTTGTTGTTTGCCTGTCAGAGGCACAGTGATCCTTTGACTGTTTATTTGGTTTTGACTCTTTGTGCGCCCCTTCACCTGAAGTACCTAATCTGATAAACGGGATTTGAGGGTACTTAATATGTTCAAACCAAACACTATCAAGGGAAGGGTGCTTGGCTTTTAAGAAGTAATTAAAGTGTCTGCTATGCAAGGGAGAGATGACTTTCCAAATATCTGAGAAGTAAAAATTTCCGTTTCAGCTACTGACTCATGGTGGAGCGGCAACCTCCTTTTACAGCTTTAGCATGAGGAATGGAAGGGGGAAAGCTGGAAATGTTAAGGACTGAAAGGAAAAGAGATAATGAGAGGGAGAACTGTAGCTGAAGACTGGTATTGGAAGAGTCTTCTGGGGTTTGGGGAAGGAACTCTAGGTTCCTTCAGTACTTGATCTGACATGCGCATTTATGTTCAGCATTAGCCTTTGGTTAAAATACATACTCTTGGGGGTGGGGGAGAGAGAAAGAAAGAGGAATACAAGGTGCAGACAGACCCTGTAGTGTTAACTGTTACCTTTTGCTCCCTGCAGTGGGTGACCACGGCTACGACAACGCTCTCCCCAGCATGCACCCATTCCTGGCTGCGCGCGGTCCCGCCTTCCGCCGCGGATACACACACAGCTCCATCAACAATGTGGACATCTACCCCATGATGTGCCACATCCTGGGGCTGACACCACAGCCCCACAACGGCACTTTGGGAAACACCAAGTGCCTGCTGGCTGACCAGTGGTGCATCAACCTTCCCGAAGCTATTGGGATAGTTATTGGGGCGTTCGTGATCCTGAGTACTTTCACCTGCATCATAGTCATCTCCAAGAACAGAGTCGTCCCGCCACAGCCCTTTGCTCGGCTGCAGTTACAAAGTGATGACGATGAACCTTTAATTGGATAGCACAGAGGGAGCCCAGCCTCACTTGCTACACTGTGATTTCAGGAAAACAGTTTGAACTTGCACTGGATGGCATTCTGTGATGCACTTTATCTGCGTAAAATACTGTACAGCCAGACCTTGCTGACTCGTTTGTGTGCTGCCTGACTAGTGTCCTGTAAAAATATTTTCAGAACAAAACAGTGGACTGGTGGCTTTTCACTGTAAGAGATGCTAACAAAATAAAGATGCTTAGTTTTTCATTCAAGCCTTTGAGCACTTTCAGAATGAAATTCCAGAGTATGACTAGCCAAGATAGACTAAGTGAATTTTAATATTTGTAAATGATAATTGCTTTTTTGTATTAAATTTAAATTAATATTGACTTATTTTAGTGTTCTTGTACCTGTGTTGGAAAGAAGATCTTTTTTTATGAGAGCTAGAAGTTAGTTTTGTTTGCAGAGTATGTTCAGGTTTGCCATTTAATTTGGGGATAGAGGGTATAGGGAAGATCCAAGACTTTTGTTTCTACCCTAAGGCAGCAATATGACATGAAATTGCTGAGAAAGAAAATGGAAGTCGGTGAGGAAAGAATTGGTGCGTATCACTTCTATTTTGAGCAATAAACCATGTGGTTCAGCAGTTACAACACTGGACAGGTGGCTCTGACATTTCTGGGCATGTGTCTGTGGGTGACTTAGATCCACAGTTCCTGCACAGTTCCAGTTGCGCTGCTGCCTTATCTCAAGGATGTCAGTTTAAATCTTTGAATTATCCAGTTTCGTGGGTTGTAGGTTTAAAATTAATGCTTCTAAATCCTGTGGAAAGTTTCTCAGGTGTAAACTTTGCTGAAGGTGTTTTTGTAATAAAGGTGGTTCTGCCCTGTGCACCAGCTGATATTTGTCTTTTGAAGGCTGTCATGCTAAAAAGCAACAACTGACAGTTTGATGTGCAGTCATCAAACAAGTCTTCCAAAGTCTTATTTTAAGCCCTGGAAATTTAAAGAGAAAAGTTAACAGATCTTATCTCAAAAAAAATAAATACTCTGTAGCTTTTGAGATATATAGATGCAAATTTCTGGTGAAGACCAGTGCTAATGGTTCTCCTAATTGAAACTCTTGATTCCTTGTTAATGGTCAGGTTGTAACTTGACGATAAAATTTGATTTAGAAAGCCTTAAATGGTATCTTATCTTTCAGTGAGGAGAGGATGTGAGGTTAAATTGTTAATGCTAACCCAAAAGACAACTATGGTTACCGAGTCCTTTTCCTACAAGTTTGATGGTTTTAAAAAATAATTTGATGTGACAGAGGTACATGGTAGTGTGCGATGCCGTTTCTCTTTCACGAGCTCCAATTCAATGCACTTTGGTATTGGCCCCAGACTGCCTTTTATTGATCCAGCAGGGAGGGGGCAGGGACTTTGGATGGAAGAGCTGCTTCTAACTGTCCACAGAAAAAAATACATTGGAGTTTTAGAAATGTGTGGAAGCTTTACTACTTTGTGTCTTCCTCTCTGGGTATTCTGTTGTACTGATTAAAAACACAAACCAAAACCTAACCGGTTCTGGTTTCCCCTCCTTCTTAAACTACTAGTTATTACTTACTAGTGCTTTACTCTGGAACTTGAAAGAGGCTCAGGCCCCTTGAAAAATCTGTTCTGTTACTGACAGGGTACTGGATTTTAACCTGTTGCTATCCTAGAGCAGTAGCTGGACTGAGCACAGAGTCACTTTCTCATCCTACCTGAAGTTTAAACTAATTAATTACAGGCACCAAGAGGTCGAGTTAATGAGTAACTACAAAGGGAATGTTTTGCAGGGTAGGACCTAGGCTTGGATATGCTGTAAAGGGGAGGACATTGGAGAAAGTTGTTTGTTAGGCTCTCATAATTCTGCTGATACAGGTTGGGATCCTCAGGTGGTGATGGAATTATTGGAAGATGCTTTGCATCATCTGTGTTTGGAAAGGCTTGACTAGACTGAATTAATCTTCCCAGCAGACTGGGTCAGATCAAACTGTACTGTCTCTACATGTGAGTTCTGGTGTTTTTTTTCTGGAAGCTAAACCTGATATAGCACAGTGTTTGCTCCACTCTGTTCTCCCCCTTATTTGCCCTCCCCCCAGCAGTTGTCACACAGCCTGTGATGGATGTGCTCTCAGTTCCTCTGTGCATCCTCCTCACAGGCAGGTGGCAAAGTTACCACCAAGATTTTAATGGCCAGAAATGTAAATGCTGACTGAAGTGCAGTGTGATCTGAAATAGGAGTGTTGTAACAGATGGGGAAATCAAGGTCTAAGTGCATTTCTCCTTCTAGCTCTAGGCAGCCTCTTCTGATGAGAGTTGCTACAAGTCACTGAGCTGCTGTGAAATCGGACAGTGAGTGGTTGTATTGAGTGGAAATCCCTAACACCCTCTGCTCCTCCTCCCTTAGTGTGGAGACTAAACAGTGCTACTGTGGGAAGGGCTTGAGGAAATCTAAGTATTAAGAAATAGGATAAACTGTATTTGAGTTGCATTGCTGATTATTTTCATTTCCAAATATGTGGTATGGTCTGTAACGGTTCTGAGTATTCTTCCTGGCACAACGGGTTTCAGAGTCACTCTTGTACATCTAGGATTTCACACAGATCATGTACAGATGAAGAGAACCTAGAAAAACACCTCTTTGTCCTTAAGACACAAAGTTGATTTATTTAAAGATGATTATTTTTTTAAATTCTGGCAAAATACTTCAACTGCCTCATTACAGTTTGTGTTCTATTTCTTATGAAAGCTGGTGGCTGATTTTCTTTCCAAGAGCCAATTCAGAATAAGAACAGCAAAGTTGTGGCTTCTGCTTCCTTAGAGCTGTGATAAAGGGGTGATAGTTTGTGGCAACAATTAATGACTTGCTAAATAGACACAACTCAGCAATGATCACACAGGGCATGTTAATTCAGAGGACATTCCTAACACTTAAACTGTCTGCGAAGTTTAGAAGGGGATAGGAGGGGTATTTGTAGCCACTGCCCTGCAGAGAAAGCTGTTTCATTATGTTGGCTATCTCCATAAGAGAACTCAACACTGGGTACAGAAGCCCTAAAACATCCACCCCTTTGGGGTTCTGTGCTTTTTTGGCCATTAGCATCAAGGAAACAGTTCCAGAATTGAGCTGACTTCAACTACAGCTCTGAAACACTGGTTTCAGGGGCAAGTTTAACTTGCTGCCTACACACTGCCTATGAAAATAAACCAACATCATGTATCTCCAAGGATCAGGCCACAGGGACAGATGTTTGCTTTAACATGCATGGTAGCATTTTTATTGCAAAAAACCCAGTAATGGAGGTTTGTTAATAGGATTCAGATTAGGATTTCATTATGGAAAGGCTGATAGAACTATTGGATTTTTCATTTTCATGTGCTTGCAATAATTTTTGTAGCCTACCACCTAATAAATGTTTACACCACTTTTACTGTAGGACAAACATGCCATGAAAGGTTTGTACAGCAGCACAGGTATGGTCAACACAGAATCCTTCGCCATTATTTAAGCAGGGAAGAAGACTGGGAAGTAACCCTGTTAAATTTGCATTTTACAAAACAGCAGGACCCAACCACTGCACATTTGTTCTTCTTCCACATTCAGCTTGTGTTGTTCACACTTGTGACAGGTCTCTGCCCATGACGGGGGGGGGGGCAGTTGAAACCAACCCAAACCATTCTATGATTGTTTGAAAAGTCAGGCTGCACAACCCTTCATCCTACAACAGGCTTGGCAGTGCTGGGTTAATGGTTGGACCCTTATTGTAGAAGTCCTTACCAACCTAAACAATTTTATGAATCTGATTTTTCTGCCTTTTTTTAATTATTATTTTTCTTGAGACTGCATTTCTTGTAGCAGCATTACTGCAGCTCTTTACCAAGAAAGTCTGGAAGATTTTTTTTGGTAAAAGAAACTGTATTCCCACCATTGATAACTGATAGCTGGTTTTTCCATATACAGCAGCAAGGGGGGAAATGAGATCTATTATAAAAGAACTTTCATTTAAAATTCCTAAGTTCTGTCATACTTCCAGTTATTCTTAATAAAGGCATAGACTATGCAGAGTCCAAGAAATATTTAGGATGCGGGAATTAAGGCCATTCTCCCCCAGTCACTCCCTCCCCTTCAGGTTTGTTTCCCAGAAGCGTTTTTAAATGAAACCAGCACTCCATGCTTGGTAGGACTACAGCAAAGATGTATTTCAACTCCAGCAGTTCCAAACACGAAGAAATAAAGAAAACATTTGACATCTGTACGCTTCACAGGTCAGTAATGAAGCACAACATCATGCATCACTCTTGGTTTCCAAGCTTAAGTTACAAACAGTACACAGTGTACTCAAATCCAGTTTCCAATAAACTTGTTTGCACATCATAGAAAGTATCATATACACAAAACCCAAATCCCATGTCCTCCCTACCCAGAAAGATAGTCTGACAAAATGTCACATCAGAGAAAAAATTGCTGTGCTTTCATCATCTGTGCTTTCAATTCCATTAAGCTCACACCCAACTTAAAACAGTGTTTGACACCAGCTGGGCAAATATACTAACAAGTAACTACCCAAAAGGTACCTGCAAATACTCCAAAGAACAAAGGAAGTGTTTAGCCCTAAACTGAAATACCCAAATGCTACAAGATTCCCTTCCATTTTTTTTACAAAGTTTTATTTTACCCTCCTCAAAGAAGGGCCTCACAGTGCAATACAGAACAATGACACACACAATTCTCACATCCATGTCCCCAAATTATTTTCAGTATTATTGTTCCCAAAGCCTTTGTTGCAGGAAAGTTACTGCTTTTCCCTTGTTGCATATTTGGGCAGGTAAATCTAAGTCCAGGATGACTGAACAACACCAACTCTGGCCCCTCCTTAAAATCAAGATTTACTTTGGCTGATAGAACTACACCTGCCACAATTAAAGTGGGGGTTTAATGAACAACTCTGAGATTACAAACCAGTTATTTTCACATCTGCCATGATTACTGCTATGAAATTGCTGCAATAAGAGGAACTTCTATTAAAGCAGCATGTTCCAAAGTGCATAATTGCAGTAAATACAAGAGAGGGTTATGGCATCTCCAACTGCCACTGTTATTGCCTTATCCAAGCCTGTAGATCTTTCCTTAAACACACACTAAGGCATAGCTAATGGCCAGCTCTACTAAGAATCAGCTTTACAGACCTTTTCCTTCAGTGTTTTCTTAAGAAAATGGCAATACAGGAAAAAAAGACAGTTCACAGCATAGCAACAGCACTGAGTCAGATAAGTTCACAAGATTTCACATATATCTCCCAAACTGAGAGCTGTCTCCCAACAGATCTGCATGTTTCCTGCCTTCCTAAAGCTACCATTACAGCTAAACTTTCAGCATATCCCTTGAATTGGATTATTTCACTGCCTTCCCTCTCAAGCATTTGCTGAACCCAGGTGTGGCCTCTGGAAACGTCCACATCTGTCTGCAAGACAGGTTGGGGTTGGTGCTAAGCAAATGTCCCTGCCATTACAGAGGAACCCAACAGATCTTCATTAAGTCTGGAATTTAGTCCAGCAAAACGAGTTTTGTACTCCAAACCCTCCCCTTGCAGTACTGACTGTCAGTCACACTGTTTCCTCAGCAGAGCACAACCAAAGCCGAGGTGTTCCCATCCTTGCCCTCTGCTGGGGGCTGTGGATACAGCTATAAATTGCACTTAAAAATACTCAGTTTGCTATTTCTGCATGAATTTTAAAAGTTTCTTTCTCCTTCAGGCATTGTACTCAGCATCAAAGTGATGAGAAATACTATCTCACAGAGGGAGAAGGGGAAAACTCTGACAATGAGACAACTTTTCTCACTTCAGATCATGTTTTTCAC